CTCTAAACCACATGCCTCTGGAAACTCTTATGAATTTGGAGAAATGGCAATAGTTACAGAAAAGCTTTTAGCCTTTTGTTTATTTATTTATATGTATATATAAAAAAACAAATATATGGAGGACCCTTGTATTTAAAAGTCAATTGGGCCCAAGGGCCTAGTGTTATTTTGGAGGAACATTCTTCTAAGTTGTACAGCACTCTTCTGTCAAATTGCTGTACTGAAGTAATCTGTGTTTGCTGTGATGCTGAACTTTGTGCCAACAAGGGGTCAAATGCCATAATGGCTGTCCATGGTAAAAAGTGTTTGGTGGAGCTCCCAGTTTAAGACATGTTTGGAAGCAGGAGTGGCGTCCACTTCCTAAACAACATGCCTCTGGAAACTCTATGAACTTGGAGAAACAACAATAGTTATAGTAAAAGGTTGCATAGTGGAGTGTACTTGGGGCAGTGGCAGGGATGTAGGGGGATTGTATACCAAAGAAAGAATTTTTCTTTTACTTTTCAAAGAGAGGAGTGAAGGGGGGTGAGGGCTGGGAAGGGAGAAAAGTGCAACAATGAATGAGCAGAAATCCAAAATCTCTGTAAATGTTCATTAAAATTATTAAAATAAAATCTAAAAAAAATAGTTATAGAAAGGCTTCAGGCCTTTGCTTTATAGGATTGCTATGAGTTGTGCTCAACTCAATAACAATTAACAACAACAATAACAATAACCAATTAAAAGTTCTAGTGGATTAGCGGTAAAAAATTATGCTCTCAATGCAAAGGTAAGCTGTTTAAATCTACCAGCTTCTTCACAGGAGAAAAATGAGCAGCCTCCTCCCATGCAATTTACTGCCTCTGAAAAACTTGGAGAGTTAGCTATGAATCAGTTCTGACTCAATGGTACAAAATAACAATCGCCAATCAAATCTTAGCAAAAAGGTTAACCCCTTAATTGATTTTCTGATGGCCATACTAAAGTCAACTCCTGATTTTGTTTTGTTTTTTAAATTATAAATTGAAAAATGAAACCAAAGACATTGCTACAGAGTGGAGCCCAACTCATAACGAGCTTGGTTTTTTAATTGAGATTTTTTTTTTAAATGTATGTACTGTCAAGTCTGATCTGACAGGTACAGGAGGAGATTGCCCCTCCTTCTGCAGCACAGCAGCTGGTGGATTCGAACTGTGCACCTCTGGGATTGCAGCACAGCTTCTTGCCACTAGGCCACCAGAGCTCGTCAAGGTTTTATTGTAAATATATAAAGAACTTGGATTTCCATTCATTCATTGTTGCATTTTCCTTCCTGTTCCACTCCCACCCAGTTCACTTTTTTTTTTCCAATTCACTTTTTTAAAAAAATAATTTTTTTTTCATGTGTACCATCAAATGGGATCTGACTGGTACAGAAGGAGATTGCCCCTCCTCCAGCAGAGCATCTGGTGGATACAAACTGCTCACCTCTGGGATTCCAGTGCAGCTTCTTGCTACTAGGTCACCAGTGCTCCCCCAGTTCACTTTTTTTTAGGTACCAATAATACCTAATCTTATTTTCCTTTTAAACAGTTCTCTCCCTCATCTATTTCAATGCAGTGTACATTATTTATCCCCTTTTCCCCCAACCCTGATGCCAGTTCTATTTTATAACAGTGGCACTATGCAGTATTTGTCCTTTTATGACTGAGATATTTCACTCATCATAATGTCCTCCAGGGTCACCCATTTTGTTTAATATTTCATGAGTTCCCTGTTTTTCAGTGCAGCATAGTATGCCACTATGTGAATATACCAGAACTTCTCTATCCATTCGTTTGTTGATGGGCACTTGGGTTGTTTCCAACTCTTTGCTATTGCGAACAAAGCTGAAATAAACTTGAGTATGCATATATCTGCTTTGGTGGCAGTTATGGTTTCTTTAGGGTAAATTCCCAGTAGTGGAATTGCTGGGTCAAATGGTATTTCTATTTGCAACTCTTTGAGAAAGTATCATACTGTCTTCCATAGTGGTTGTACCATTTTACACTCCCACCAACAGTGAATAAGCCTCTACAGCCTCACCAGCGTTTGTTGTTTTCTGCTTTGTTGATTTTTGCTACTCTTACATGAGTAAGATGCTGTCTCATAGTTGTTTCAATTTGTATCTCTCTTAGAGCTAGGAATTTTGAACATTTCTTCACCGTGTTTGTTCATTACCTGAATGTCTTCTTTGGTGAAGTATCTGTTCATATCCTGTGCCCATTTTTCAATTGGGTTGTTTACCTTTATCCTGTAGTGCTTGAATATTCTATAAATTCTAGATTTAAATCACCTATCAGACATGTCATAACCAAGTATTTTTTCCCAGTCTGTGGCTTCCCTTTTTACTCTGTTGGAGTTTTGGATGTGCATAGGGATTTGATTCTTAGAAGGTCCCATTCATCTATTTTATCCTCTTCAGTTGTAGGTTTTTCAGGATGCTTGGAAGCCTGTTCATGTTGTGGATTAATACTTCTAGGGTTCTTCTAAGCTTTTCTCAAATGAAGTTTGGTTTTAGTCCAAGGTCTTCGATCTACTTTGAGTTGGTTTTTGTGTATGGTGGTGTGAGGTGTGGGTCTTATTTGAGTTTTCTGCAGGTGGTTTTCCAATTTTGCCAAGACCATTTGTTAAAAAGGCTGTCATTTTCCCACTTAACTGATTTCATCCCCTTGTCAAAAATCAGTTGACCATAGGTAGATGGGCTGATTTCGGGATTCTCAATTCTATTTCATTGATCTGTGTGTCTCTCATTGTACCATACCACACTGTCTTGATCACCATAGCAATATAGTAGGATTTGAAATCAGGGAGTGAGATGCCTCCCACCTTGTTTCTCCTTTTTAAGGAGTGCTTTGTTTATTCGGGGCCTCTTTCCATTCCAAATGAAACTGGAGATTGCCTTTTCCATCTTGTTGAAGAAATGAGCTTGTTTTTGAGACTGTAAATTTTCTTTTCACTTTTTTATTAGTTTGCATACAGTTAGTTTACAATGTGTTTCATGCAATCATTCACATATATTGAATTTTATATAATTAAGGTTCTGTGTCTATTATTATGTCTTTTAGAATCCCTACTGAATCCTTCCTACTCCTTCACCCCCATCTGCCTGATAACCACTGCTATACTAGTTATTTCTTTCCTTCCCCTTTTTCTGCCTTGGACATTTACACACATCTTACTAGTTTTCTTTCTATTTTTACAATAGTGGTCTTACACAGTATTTGTCTTTATGAGACACTCAGACTCTTAGAATTCACTCAGCATCATGCTCATGCTGTCTAGCCTCTCCCATGTTATATAAAATTTTACAAACTAGTTCCTTAGTCCTACATAGTATTCCACTGGAATGTGCCACAATTTCTCAATTCATTCACTTGTTAATGGGCATGTGAACTGCTTCCGTTTTCTTGCTACAGGGAATAATACTGCTGTAATACAGTAATACATATTTTGTTCAAGTCTCAGTTGTAATTTCTTTGGGGTATATTCCTCGCAGTTAGATAGCTCGGTCATATAGTCTATGTTCAGCTTTTTGAGGTAACACCAAACTACCTTCCAGCCTGGTTGTATCATTTTACATTCCCACCAGCAGTGCATGAGAGTTCCAATCTCTCCACACTGAAACTATAAATCTTGGCAGGAGACTGCTCATCTTTATCCTGCAGATTGACTGGTGAATTTTCCTTGCAATTTAGTCAGTGGTGTAAGTCCCTATGCACAGCACCACCAGTAGCAGGAGGCCAAATTAATGTCCAAAATATATCTGTACATTTTTACCTGAGTTTTATACTTTTGTACCTCCCCTCAACGCAGACTTTCACAAGAACTTAGAACATGGTCTCGGGCGGCTACGAACTGCAAACTTAGACTGGGTATTTTTGCAGAAAAATAGAAAATACAGATCTCCATACCTTTTCAACCTGTATTCAGAGCAGATTATCCGAGAGGCTGGGCTCTATGGGGAGACGCGTGGTGTTAGGATTGGTGGAAGATCTATCAACAATCTGCATTATGCAGATGACACAACCCTGCTCACTGAAACTGAGGAGGACCTCATGCACTTACTGCAGAGGGTCAAGGACTGCAGCCTTCAGTATGGACTGAGGCTCAATGTCAAGAAGACAAAGATTCTCACCACTGGACCAGTTGGTAGCATCAGGATGGATGGCGAAGAGATTGAGAGTGTTCACAGCTTCCGTTTGCTCGGCTCCACAGTCAACACTCTTGGCACCAGCAGCCAGGAAATCAAAAAACGTATTGCGATGGGAAAGTCTGCTGTTAGGGACCTCTCAAGTACTCAAGAGCAACGGTGTCTCTTTGGAGACGAAGGTGCGCCTGATACAGGCCATGGTCTTTGCAATCACTTGTTATGCATCAGAGAGCTGTACAATGACTAGGGAGGACAGAAGGCGAATTGACGCCTTTGAGCTGTGGTGCTGGAGAAGAGTATGGAATGTACTATGGACTGCCAAGAAAACAGATTCATCCTAGGGAGGGTGAAGCCAGGCTACTCCTTGGAGGCAAGGATTCTGAGGCTCCGTCTAACATACTTTGTACATGTTGTAAAGAGAGACAGGTCTTTGGAGAGGGACATCATGCTTGGTAGAGTAGAGGGACAGCGCAGGAGGGGAAGACCCTCTATGAGGTGGATTGATTCAGTGACTGGGATAATTGGGATGGGTGTGTCAGAGGCAGTGAGATTGGCACAGGATAGAGAAGGGTTTAGGGCGGTTGTACATACGGTCGCTATGAGTCGCAAACGACTCGATGGCACATAAACAACAACAACAATCGCCCTCATGAAGCCCCAAAGCCGGCACAGAGCAGGAATCTGTTCCCGCCCCTCCTGGCAGGAACCGGAAACCGAGTGTGCGCAGTGCCGTCTGGGAATTGTAGTGTAGGCTGGCCAGGAAAGTCGGCCAGGTGGACATTACTTCTACATTATTCACGTGGTTAGATTACAAGGTGTAATCTAGGGGTACGGGAAAGTTAACACTTACCTAGATGTGGAATTCCACGCCGGAGCTCTAAACACAAGATGGGAATAGCAGCGAGGAGAAAAATGACGACGCCACGAGAAGCCATCTCTGTGGGAGTCCCGCTTCTGGGCGGAAAGCCCGCCTCCGAGCGGCTCCTGGAGGTGGAGATGCGCGGTTACTGCGCGATGATGAGGGAGGTGGCAGGGCCGGAGGGCCTAAATAAACTGCTTTTCAATTTACAATCTGAAAACGTACCAGAAGACTAGAGGTCCTCTTGCATCATGTGCGGCCCTCCTCAAGGTCTGAAGTAGTGGTGGCCCACCCTTCGGAAGTGGAATTCGGCTGAGGCTGGGGTGGGGGGTGGGGAACCCCTCTAATGAAATGAACTGGAAAGGATCTTACAGACAGATGAAGTTGTGAGGAAGGAGGTGGTTGTGGTCTTTGGACCCAAAGCTGTGAAGTGCTTTCGCTGATGGCTGCTAATGGTTACTCTTTCCTATGGGAAGACAATCCAAAGTGTTGACTGGTGATAGGGTGGTATTAATAAGTTAAGAATTCTATATATATCAGTTATAAAACATAGTATCAGTTATACAACTTATAGTTCTTTTTCTTCAGCCTGCAAAACTATAGTTACTTGGCCTTGGAATTCTCTTGTTTCCTGTCTTTAGTCATGTAAAGTAGTTTAATCGGTCTTTTTACTAGGAGAGGAAATGTATTTATCCCAGATACTGATGAGGCTGGTTCTCCAGTCATAGGTAAATTGTAGCTTAACCTGCCTGTTTACCAGGAAGAGAATTGTGCCCTTCCTGAATTACTGATACTTAAATGTGAACTGTTCTCTTCAAATGTAGAAATTACTTTTTTTATTAACAAAAGTGCATTGTTAAATGAGCTAGTGTTTCACCCTAGTATAAAACCCAGTGACCACTCGCGAGGCAGTCTTGAAGGTGATGTGGTGTCTCACGGATATGACTACGGAAAGAACCCCTTGTGTTCAGTAACAAACTCACTGCACCTCATGACTCTTCTCTGCTGTTTCTTGACACCCAGCCAAGCTTAACAGGTCCTGTCAATCTATAGGATATCATACTTTGAAATTCCTGTTTTCTGATTCAACTAACAATCCAATTTGTTGTTGTTGTTGTTGTTGTTGTTGTTATGTGCCATCGAGTCGCTTGCGACTCATAGCGACCCTATGTAGAACACCCCTAAACTTGGCTCTGTCTTGTGCCAATCGCACTGTCTCCGACACACCTACCACAATTACCCCAGTCACTGAATCCACCTTATAGAGGGCCTTCCTCTCCTGCGCTCTTCCTCCACCTTCCCAAGCATGATGACCCTCTACGAGGACCTGTCCCTCCTTAAAACATGTCCAAAGTATGTTAGACGAAACCTCAGAATCCTTGCCTCCAAGGAGCAGCCCAGTTTAACCCTCTCCAGGATGAATCTGTTTTCCTAGCAGTCCATGGTACCTTCAATAGGCATCAATTTTCCTTCTATCCTTCCTAGTCATTGTCCAACTCGTGGTTGGGTATCCTGGTGGGTGGTGGAGCAGGGAAATAAGTGGGCAAAGACAATTATGACAAAGGCAGGGACAACACTGATACTAATGGTTAACCCCACAATAAGGGATATATCTTTCACTTTTTCTGTAAAATGCTTGTCTGTTGGATACTTCTCAAAATCTGAACTTTCCTATTAAGACAGACTAGGAAGAAGGATTGACCATCCACTTCTGAAATAGCAGGCCTCTGAAAACCCCTATATAAACAATCCAATTTAGATAATTTATTAACCTGGGAGCTCTGGTGGCATAGTACTTGGGAAGTGTGGCAGTTAACCCAAAGGTTCTTTTTCTAACTATTCCAATGCACTAGAGGATCAGCTGTGGATGGTGGGCAATCTTCTCCCAAGCGATATACAGCCTCAGAAGCCCAATGAAGGGTTAGCTGTGAGTGGGTTCCAAATTCACAGCAAACAAAAATGATAACTTAAAGAGCATCATAATTTGCCATTTATACTGGAGCTTATAGGAACACAAATGTAAGTTACTGAATTTGTCTTCAAGTAATTAGTAGGAAAAGTAGCTAAAGGTTGTTGTTATGTGCCATTGAGTGGCTTGCAACTCATAGCGACCTTATTAAAACAGCCTGGCGTTAGATGGATCTTAGCTGAAAGCAGGGAATATCAGAAGAATGTTTATCTGTGTTTCATTGATTATGCAAAGGCGTTTAACTCTGTGAATCACAACAAACTGTGGCTCACTCAGAAGATGGGAATCCCAGAACATTTGACCTATACTTGGACCAAGAGGCAGTCGTCAGAGCAAGGAAACACTGCATGGTTCAAAATTGGGAACAGTGTATGCCAGGGATGTGTCCTATCTCCATACCTTTTCAACCTGTATGCAGAACAGATCATTTGGGAGGCTGGGCTCTATGAGGAGAAATGCGGCATCAGGATTGGTGGAAGATCTATCAACAATCTGCGTTATGCAGATGACACAACGTTGCTTGCTGAAACTGAAGAGGACCTGAAACACTTGCTGCAGAGGGTCAAAGACTGCAGCCTTCAGTATGGATTGAGGCTCAATATCAAGAAGACCACTGGACCAATTGGCAGCATCTCTTAAGAGAAGGTTTTTCTCTATCAGCTCTGGAGAAATATTTCATCTCATCTCACCATTTACAGGCCTAGGATTCCTTGGAGATCTATATTAATCTTTCCTGGGCTGTATGAAATTCTCAGTATAAGGACCATGCATCCAAACAAAATTTTCCACTTTTGATTTTGTTTTAAATATTTTACATTGACTTGCACACAAAATTCATATACGTCTTGTTTCACATATTCCTTCATTTACATTATGTTTCATACAATCATTCCTATGCGTTGTGTTTGATGAAATTGATCACCCTATTACCCCATCTTTTCAAGTCTATGCCAGATTGATCAGGTCCCTCTGGTCCCTTCTTATTTGTTTAATCTTTTTTATATCTAATAAAAAGTTCATTTAAGATATAATCTCAACCTAAATCTTGCTTCACTAACATAATTGTCACTAATCCTGTCTCATTAACAACAGCTGTTATTGTAATTATGTGACAGTGAGGTTTTCAATAGCTTTAAATTATACAGGAGGAGATTGTTCATCTTTACCCACTGAAGGAACTGGTATGCTCGAAGTATGTGAAACCAAGTTTCACCATCCTTGCCTTTAAGGATTGCTTTTTTCGTAGTCCTTGAGATATTTAGTGCTCTTCTCCAACACATCAATTCAAAAGTATCAATTCTCTTGTCATACTTATTCATTGTCAAAGTGTAGAATATGTGTGATTAATAGAAGGAAGACATAAAAAAAATCATCTTAAGAATAGATTTGAAGCATTGTACACCAATGATCGAAGACCAGATGAATTGTGGGATGACATCAAGTATACATTTTATAAGAAACATAAACGCAGGTTATACACATGGATCTCATCTGATGGTATGCATAGGAATCAGATTGGATACATCTGTGGAAAGAACCCCTGGAGAAGCTCAATATCAGCTGTGAAAACTAGGCCAGGTGCTGATTGTGGGACAGACTACCAACTATTCATATGTAAGTTCAAGTTGAAGCTAAGGAAAATTAAATTGAACCAATGGGAACAAAAATATGACCTTGAGTCTATCCCACCTGAATTTCAAAACCATCTGAGGAATAGGTTTGAGGCCTTGAACACTAATGAGTGAAGACCAGATGAGTTATGGGAGGATATCAAGAATATCATCCAGGAAGAGTGCAAAAAGGTCATTACAAAGACAGAGGAAGGGAGGCAAGGAAAAAAAAAAAACAAAGAGGAAGAAGAAAAGACCAAAATGAATGTCAGAAGACACTTTATTGCACTAGAGCACCGAGAAGCCAAAGCAGAGGGAGGAAATCAAGGTATTAAAGAGCTAAACAGAAGATTTCAAAAGGCAGTATAGTTTTTCCTAATTTAAACTGACTTCCAATCTGGGCTCTACCAGTACACTACTAGAACTATCCTCTTCCTGTAGAGTTCATAGGGTTTTCAAAGGTCTGTTATTTAGTAAATAGATGGCCCATCCTCCTTCCTAGTCTGTCTTAATCAGTTCACCAAAACCTGTCCATTTAACACACCAGTGGCACAGATTTCAGTATCACAGCAATCCCAAGTTATCTCAGTACAACCAAATGATGGACAAGTTCTGTACCACTTAGAACAATGTTCTCACCAAATGTAGTTTCAAAGGGCAGCTTGGGAGGACAAAGCAAAGTATTATAATGGAATATGCGGAGAGCTGGAATTGGAGAATAAAAAGGGAAGAACTTGCTCTGTACTTCCCAGAATTGAAGAACAAATTTAAGCCTTGTATCACAATATTGAAAGATGCCACAGACAATATATGGAATGACCCAGAAAACATCAAGAGAAGATGGAGGGAATACACAGAATCACTGTATGAGAAAGAATTGATTCACACACACACACACAAAATCTTGGGAAGCACCTTATTAACTCAGCAGGGAAACATTGATTGCATGGTTCAAAATCAGGAAAGGAGTGTGTCAAGGGTTCATCCTGTCTCATGGCCTATATACAGAACAGATCATTTGGGAAGCAGGGCTTTATGAGGAGGAATGTTCCTGAAACAGAGGAGGCCCTAAATTTCTTGTGGCAGAAAGTCAAGAACTATAGTCTTCAATATGGATTGAAGCTCAACATCAGGAAGCCAAACATTCTCACCACTGGGCCAATTGGCAGCACCATGCTAGAAGGAGAAGAGATTGAGGTTGTTAACAATTACAGTGTGCTTGGCTCCACAATCAATATTCTTGGCACCAGTAGTCAAGAAATCAAAAGACAAATTGCACTGGGAAAATCAGCTTTCAGGGACCTCTCCAGAATAATAAAAAGTAATGATGCCAGTCTAGAATCTAAGGTGTGCCTAATCCAGGCTATAATCTTTGCAATTACTTGCTATGCATCAGAGAGCTGGACAATGACTAAGGATGACAGAGAAGAATCAATACTTTTGAATTGCGGTGCTGGAGATGAGTACTGCACATACCATGGACTGCCAAGAAAACAA